TGCAATATTTTTAAAAAGAGCATGTACTGTCTCAATCCAACTAACGAACAATAAAGTTAAATCTACCTTACACAGACTGTGTATAACTTACTTGATTTTGGTTACTACTAGAATTCCTACCTACTATTAAGTAATAGAAAGTGTGAAAAACAACTGTAATTTCGATCCTGACTAAGATGATAGGTAAGTACCTACCTATTATGTTTGGGCATAATCATACCTATTTGCAATTTTTTTAAGAAGAGCATATGCTATCTCAATCTAACTAACGGACAATTAAGTTAAATCTACCTTACGCAAACTGCGTAGAATTCACTTAATTTTGGTTTTACAGTAAAAATACCTATTGTAAAATTAAAAGAAGACAATGCATTTATATTTTGAATTGTAGCAATCATTTGAAAACGATGAATTAGTTTTTATTTTTAAACGTTGTATTGAATATTACATCCAGAATAATAGGAAAAACACATAGTCTTGCCCTCCAGCAGGTATGTCGTTCAAGGGACTATGCCCCCCCCCTAGACACCAAACTACCTATACCTTGTTTCAAAAGAGAACATACCTACCGTTTTCACGACTATTTATCGTTCCGCGGTGCGTATCTGCATTAGGTAGCACCGGTCACGACCATAGATATTTGATATGTTCACATATACGACCACATGTCTATGAGGTCGTGAGGTTAGGTTAAGTTGGGGATGTGCGCCGCCGAACGAAAATTGTTCGCGAAAGCGGTATATTCTCTTTAGAAACAGGGTACCTATATGAATAATAATTTCTTTCAGGAATCTGTATAGTAGTTCAGTGTTAATAAATTATAATCACGGGCGGCCTCTGTAGATAGTTATGCTGTCACATTGGGCGGTCAGAGGTCACATTGACCGACCAACGTCTTATCATGTTAGTTAAAAGTATTGATTTTCGGACCAAAAGGACATTGTCCCTCCCCCCCCTAGAAAAATCCGCCACTGTCCTTCGGAATATTATCCTTTTTTAAATTTATAATTGACGATTTTACTCTAAAACTAAAATTACCCGAGTTCTACCTTCTACGCAGTTTATATAAGGTAGATTTTGCTATATCTATGTCAGTTGTTCAGATAATTTTACTAATTTTAGTTCAGTTTTTCAATCTTTACCCGATAAACAGTCTATAGATGTTGATATGTGATGATCGTATATTTTGGGAGAAACCAAAAAACTTATTTTCGAAGCTGTTATTATGTGTAAAATTAATATATTGATTCAGGGAGCAGATGTCTCTGGTCAGAGGGGGAGGGCGAATTCCAGAAATTCTTTCATTGAAATGCGAAAAATGTGATGCTGGTTTCCGTAGTACCAACATAATTAAACATAACGCTGTAGTTGAAATACACGAACAACCGCGTTTCTAATGTGCCCGCACGCGTACGTGTTGACATGAACACACGAACGCCCGATCAATGTAGAACCGAGCGCGGGTACAGAAATCGGAAGAAAATTACTTTTAGTATTTAAGACGAAAAATATTTTGGGTGATATTTTATCAGAAATTCATTTTTCCGAAAATATTACAGTCGACCGTAAAAAATCCGAGTCAAAACTCAATGGTTTGTTTCCGTATTATTATTATTAATACGGCGATGACCGTCTATGGGGTTGTCGGGTTTTATTTGTCAGAATTATAGCACCAGATCTTTTAAACTTTTGTCCGCGATTTCCACGTATAGTTTTCTAAATCAAAATTGTCCGATTGAAAATTATAATATATCGACCGATTCGTCATACGTCTCCCTACATCACAATGGATTCGCGTCAAGGCCAAAACGTGATGGGAGGGGAAGTAAGAAAGTGTGGGATAATAATTATTTTCAGTGAATTCAGCGCATCAGCGAATTAAAGGCGTCATAAAAGTGTTGCCAAATGCCGATTTGTTGACTGTGTTGGTACGACGATATTTGAATATTGAACATTTTTCTATGGAATATGTGTACACAAGGAATTTTGATATAAAAGGGGGAAACTAGTAGTGACCCGCACGATGAAATTTCGTCATGGCAACCCCGCATGAATATCGACAAAATGGTCGAGGTACAAATTAACAATAGAGAATGCATTATGTAATCGCCAATCGGCGTTCGAGCGACAGTGACACCAACATTAAAATGGACGCGTCTCGCGTGGGCACGGAGTTTATAACAACATCACGTGACCTAAATGTGTGTGGCAACACTGGTTAATTTCTATTGTGTGGTTAGCGTCAGCCGCCACCGCGTCCAATGATTCGCTGTTTCAGATTTTGGCTCCGTTGATTGTTTGTAGTTCGTCATCGGCTTCATTTTTCCGCTGGCGGTGGCTACCTATGGTTGTTACTTGCTTGGAGTAGTCCTCTTCACCACTGGCGTTCGATTTTTAAATCGTCTTCATTCATTGTTACAGTGAACGAAGACAGATTTAACCATGGCGGTCGACAAAAACGTTGTAAGTATTGCTAATTGTTAGGTCCCCGCGCGCGCGCTAACAAATCGCTGAACTTAACACATTAATGGCATCGCACGCGTCGTTTCGTATTTTAATTTCTCAAAACTTTTTTTTGACCGTTTTCATCGTGCTTCGCAAGGCACGCCGACGCGCGTTCCAACCATCGTCTTTGTCTCGTAGTATTATGTCATTCCGTTATTTTAATACTGTAATTAATCAGTAATTTAGTACTGCGTCCATTGTTGTTGGCGTCCGCACTTCCCCGCACGCTTTGCGTAAACGCGCGTAAGGCCGCCATTGATTTTTTTTTTTTGTCCGTTATATTGGTATACATTCGGAACAATGGTTGAAAACAATAATGTGCTTGTATTTCGGTGTGTCTCACTAGTGTGACATTTTCATACCGCTTTATAGCATTTTATTTGTTTCGTTGACTACTTACTATCGTTAACATGTATTTATTTTGCACGATCAGTACGTGTGTCAACATATTATAACCATTTATTAGTTTTTTTATTTACCATAACAATAGGTCGGTCACTATTTACTAACTGAAATATTTACTAAGCGTTCGAAAACATTTTATTTGGTTATCTTTAACAATTAAAAATTAGTTAAATTTGGAATTATTTTGCGAGTATCATTACCAACTATTATATATATGCAGTTTTCTACTAGGTACCATTGATTTTAAATTATTTTCTGACAATAAAACTCGTACATAGTGGGCGTTACAACGGTAATAAAGTTAAAATGAGTACACACCCCTACTTATATATGTATGTCGACTATCTGACAACAGAATCTGTGCTATTGTTCATGGCTATTGAATTTATTAAAAATATTTTTTTTGAAAATTTTTTATAAAGTGTTTAGTTTACTGATTGGTATATTAAGTCCTATCAAACAGAATAATCAATACTTAGTTCCGAACCAAGGATATGTAGTGGCTAACAATTATAAAAAAATCTATACTATTTTCATTAAAGAAGGGTAGTTTTTCGCGCACGCAGACTAAGCTTACGGATTACTCGCTACCGCTATGGCAGTCCGCAAAATTACACCTATTGTTGGGAGCCCTGGGCGAGGTGTGTCGTGGGGATGCGTAAGAATGACTGGTTTTCGTTGAGACTACTGTTCTTTCGTGAAAAATATAGGCCGTCACTATCGTGTAACCAGCCATCTTGGTTTAGATGGGACAATTCTGATTATTGATAGGAAAAACATTTCAAATCTAGTAATTCTCATTTATTCTGATTTCATTATTTGAATGTAAAAGTACAGATTTAAAGGGTAATTCGGGAATTATTAAAGTTATTAGTGGTAGGTAATAGTGTGGTAATAGTCTTAATTTCCACAGTTTATCTTTATTAACAAAAATATTTATCCAAAGCGTATTAAAATATTCAATAATATATTTTCTATATTAAAGTATACATTACTTTATTCATTTAGAGACTTAACATTTTTTTTTTTTTTTGTTATTATGGTTCCGATCAGTAAAGACTTTAACACTAGCGATTCTACCGCAAATCTCATGTTCATATCGCAGTAAAATATAACATTATTTATGGCCCCATATCAATATCATTGTTTGAAGTACAACTTAGTTATAACTTAAAGTTATCTTAATCTTAATATAACAAAGCAAGACCCGATATTTCGCTTTTCCATATCTACTCAGCCGTTGTATACGTGTGTGATAATTATCCCGTTGGTATAAAAAAGAACTGTTCACTTAACCAGTCGTTATGTATATATTTCTTCAACACATTTTTACTTCTCATTTAATTAAAGTCGTGGATTTAATCTTTAAAATCTCAGTTTATTATTATGTTAATATATTTTACCTATTTACAATTATTAATTACTGATGTATTATTAAAGGACGCACCTGAACATATTAACCTTAAAGTACTGGGCCAAGATAATGCTGTGGTTCAGTTTAAAATAAAGAAGCACACACCATTGAAGAAATTGATGAATGCCTATTGTGAAAGAACTGTAAGTATTGATTATATGTGCATACATAGCTGTATGCACATATAATGTGTACGTGCAGATGTACGTGTATTCAAATTTTATGTTTTTTTGTAATATTTTCACTATGTAGGTATATGAAAAAATAAGTACTAATTGCAACATTTGCAATGTATCGTACTGTAGCTTAGGTAGCTTCCCTACACTCAAATCTTCTTTCCCATTACTTGGTTTCATATCTCGTTTATTGTGTCGTCCTAATAAAATTCATCAAATGTATATGTTTATTTTAACAGTGTTAGTTGCGCTATAGTCAAAATGACTGCACTTTTTCATATCTTTAATAAAAGTACTCTTAAAAAAATATGGCAATGGTAAAGGTATGACTAACTTTTAATGATGTCATTAAAAATAATACAATAATATTAAATAACTTTTATTCCTTATAATATATGTAGATAAAAAAGAGATCATAAATTTCGATCAACACGCAACTAATGATATTATTGATGGATTGATTACATAGGTACTTTTTGTATAAAAATAGTTTATTTGGGTTTTTATTTTTCTTATTTAAAATATCAGTTTTATACACAGATGTAGTTTACATATTTTCTATAATTCATTTAATTAAATTACTAAAAATGTATGAAACAATGTTTATATACTTGAAGGCCGAGTACACACTTTTAAACTGTTAAGAGATCATTATTGGCGTGTAGTAGAGCTCGGCACGGGACAATCCAGTCTGTTTTGGCCCAGCTCAGAACCGGGCTCGGGGTACGCACTTGTGAGTTCAGCAGGTATAGTGATTGAAGAAAGAAGATCATGCTTGAAAGCAGAAACTATTGATGCATTATTATTTTTAAGAGATCAGAAATAAATTTTTGTAATATTTTTCATTAAGATGAACCGGGTTGGGCTAAATCTATGTAAATATTGAACGGTCTTGGGATTTAAAAATCGGGCCCGTGCAGGGCACTATCGTGTAATGATTAAAATTTTGAATAGTGTTCTATCACTTCACAATCTTTTTAACAGTCTTTCCGCTTATGTTTTTAACCTTGAATAGCAGTCTCATTGCAGTTTTCTTTTTTCATTAATCAGTTGTAGAATATTAATTTTATTCATATTTATACATTTTCATTTTATTATAATGCTGAACATAGTTTTCACTCCACAGTAATTTATGGAACTGATGATTTTTTTAAATTTAATTTCAAAAGTATGACTTATGTGTATTAATGTTGCATAGTCATGTTCACACTATTTGTAATCTCACCTAGCAATATTAGGTGCAATTCAAATTTATCAATAACTGATAGACCCTGTGTAAAACTTTTGCGTGTCATCTTTTGTTTACTTTTAATGATTCTGTGTTTTCACATCCACACTTAAGTTACTGTTCGATGTGCCAACATGTTGACAAAGTTCAACGTGTTCACGCCTTTTTTGCAAATGTGAGCTGGTCCTTAAGTTTTTTTTTTTTGGGTTGTTATAATATCCTCAAAAGTTCAGTAAAACAATATTTATGATGCTCTTCAAAGGAAAATATTTGCTAAAAATACTTTATTTTGTCATTATTTAAAATGTGTACTACTTGCATAACTATGTATTGGTGATAACATTCACTAATAATGAGTGTCTAGTCTAGACTAACTTTTTTAAAAATATTAAATACTTTTTGAGTTTAAAATGAAACATAAGTAGACCACTTTTGTAAGATTGAAGTTAATAAAAATATAATTTAGTTTATTTACCACGTTTAACGATTAATGTATATAATATATTATTGAATTCATCTTATGGTTGCATAAATTTGAGTTTTAAGAAAAAGTATATTTTTGAAAAATTACTTTGTATACATTTACAATTTTAATTTAATTATGAGCCTTGTATCAATTGTATCTAGTTTAATTTAATTTTAAGTATATAAAAACTAATTTTTACAATTTTAATTTTTAGGGACTTGCTATGGCTACAGTGCGTTTTAGATTTGATGGCCAAGCTATAAGTGAAGCTGATACTCCATCCTCATTGGAGATGGAAGAGGGTGATACTATCGAAGTTTACCAACAACAGACTGGTGGTTTTTAAATACAATTTTTATTAACTACTTACTTTTATGTATTAATTTTATGTATCTTAAGTTTATATTTTATTAATTATATACAATTCTTTAAAATACTTAAGTAAAATTGCCTTCTACAATCAACAATGATTGTCCGTTTTTCTTTTTAAAATAAGCTGTGTTCCATTATGTACCTTTACTTATTACAAATAAGATTAATAATATATGAATATAATTTTAAAAAAAATGAATAGTTTTATAAGCATATGACAAGGCGTGAAGGATTAACTTCCTGTGCTATATAATTTATTTAATATTATGTAATAATTGATTTTATTTATACAATTTGTTTTTCACACAAATCCTTAAGCTTAATAAACTTTTGATATAATTACATATTTTTTCTTTTTTTAAATGCAAATGATTCATTAAAATGAGTAAATGCTATTATAATAATAGTTATTATTAAAGTTACGTATTCAATACGGTTATTAAATGGTGTACCACATATTGTATAGATTTTACTATAATGTTGTGGAATATCTTTTACACAATGAAAATCAAAATCTTCATTATAGTCTTCTATGCATAAATATTTACGTTTTTTTAATTCCTTAAATGAAATAAAACAAAAAGGATACATCAATTGAATATATTTTTAATAAAATTTGTTTGAAACCTGAATTAATTTAGTTATTAGTTCTTGTATTTGATTCTAAAAATAATATTTAGTTGACTCATATTCGCAAGATACAGTATTGAATATTTTGTTTCAATTAAATAATAATTTTAAGTGCTTAAAATACTTCATGATAATATCTGGTACTTAATTGTAAATTATAATTTATCTCCCCTCCTTTTTATGTTTTTTCATTAATTTATGCACATAGTTTTTCATAATATATTTTAAGTTCATCTATATTCAATGTTTCATTGAATAAAATCAAAATAATTACTTCAAGAGGAAATTAATATACTCAGGTCAACGATACTAGGTGACAACCAAAACCCGTAATTTCATGCACATTCCCACCACTAATCTTGTATGAACACCTGTCTGTCATGTTTGTAGATGCACTGAGGTATAGGATTTTCTTGACCAGAATATATAAGTTAATTCAGGTTCCTAACTTTAAAGTTAAATGTAAATAAATAAATAATATTTACTGTTCCAAAAGCTGTAACAGTTATATTGCAAGGTCCGATTTCTTCATGTGGGCCAATTGATACTTCATTTTCAGGTTTACCCCATATTATTAAAATCAAAAATGTTGCATAATAAACAACAAGATATATCATTAAAGCTATTGGCCGATCAAATTTGTTTCTATGTTGGCGATTTAAAGTGGCTACCATGATATAAAATGCAATCAAAAACGTCACAATGACTTGCGTTGGAACATTGTATAAGTCATGTAGCGGGTGATATAGAATAGAAAAACATAATATACCACATGGAGTACTCAAAAATGATGCTTTTATAAAAGTTATAATGTCCTCCTTTTGTGTATATGTTTGATTAAGATTAATATCTTTTCCAAAAAACCAAAATACAAAACTTGCAGAAAAAACCATATGAAAATAATAAGATGTTAATGGTACCCAATATGATCGGTCCTCTAAGTTTGGATCTGTATCATGCCAAGTCCAATGAACAAATTTTACACCTGTTATATCATATGGTAAATCAATCAATAGAACATTTAATCCTACTGTTACCATAAGACCAAATTTTATTTTATTTGTTCTACAACCAATCTCGATTGATAAATAATAAAAAACTGAATCTGTAAAATTCAAGAACAATATGAAACATAAATTAATAAATATATAGAGATGAAATACATACATAAAATTATTACGTATAATGGTAATCTTTCTCCAAAAAACATAATCGGTGATCTACTATGCCAGAAATTGTCTATATCAGTTATTACATAACATACACACTCAACGATCAAACCATGACAAATTATGCTTAACCAGAGTAAAGGACGTCTTCCTCCATGCCTAAATGCTATTAATTAATTAATTAATGACAAATTCCGGTATTTTTGTAATTTTTTCAGTGACATGTCCTATTATGTAAAGTACAAATACTTACCGTGTATTAATGTTAATACTCCTCCTACAATGAACAATAACTGGACTATTAAATATGTTGGCTGATTTTTCCATAATTCAGAAATGGATGCAAATGATATAAATTGTCTCCAAATCTAAATTGACAGAATTCTTTATTAGAATATGATCAATTTAATAAAACATATTCTTTATAATTTCTTAAGTTGAAAATATAAAAATGTATCAAGTTACATCACATAATTTGTAAGTCATATTCAAAGAACAGCGACTATAAATGTTCTGCAATAATTAGCTACTTAACCAACTGTTGAATTTATTGTACACACCTTGATTACTGAATATAAACTAATTTATTTTTTTTTTCAGATTAAACTATGATATTTATACAAAAAAAATAATATAAAATGCAATTAAGTACACAAGTGCTTGTGCATGAGACAGTACCGTGACAAATAGTCATGGAGGCCTTGAGATTAGCACTATATATATTTTGTAACTAATTTATTATTATTAATTTTGTAATAGGCATATCATACTTAATATAGATTGTTTACAGTGGCATTTGAGGTAAACTCATATCCTCTTCACACGTTCCATACAGATTGACATGTCTATGTTTTAAAATCTAAAAGATAGATACCAGATTTTTTTTTGATAATATTTTAAATTTGATATTATTATTCAAATTCTTAATATTTTTTTTAAAAATTGTACTTTGTCTTTTTTAAAAAACACTTTGTACTCCAATTTTTCAATGCAGTACCTTAAAATATGTGGTATTTTACTTGAAACATTGGCTGGATTGTTTCAACGGGATATTTTCCTGTGTGCTGGTTTCCATAATAGACTGCTTTGATTTTGTAGACAAATAGGTGATGTTAAAAGGCAAGAGAAAAAAACAACTTTTAGATGATCCATAAATGTGTGAAAACTTATTGATTCTGATTTTTGATGTACAATATAGACCTATAGTACTATATAAAACTCGCAGAGTATATAATAAAATTACTTACTTTTTGTTGGTGTCTAGTGTATAAATTATATAATTATCTTAAGTTTGCAGTTCATAAATATTTTATTTTAATAAAATATGAATATACATAGTATTTATTATTTTTAACAATTATGACTGGTGAGATGATGATCCACTAAATTGAATTGTTCCTTGGAACATATTGATTAATTTTTTTGTGAAGATTTTATAAAAAAAATTAAATTTTTGAGTGTATCAAATTATTCCCTTGGGCATTTTATCACTATTATAATAATTTCTGGGAAAACAAATATTAATGTATTATGATACTTTGTGGTATAGGTAACTGATATTTCAACACGCTTTTACATATTAGCTATTTGGAAATCATACTTTAACCTCACAATTTAAACCATTGTATTTGGACATGGCGCAGGTATAGAAGGCAATAAGCTATCATGGGCATTTCATTTTTTTTACAAAACTCATCAAAATGTCCCCCATAAAAATATTCTATTACCATATGACTTACACATTTTCTACTTTTAAATGTTTTAAAACAACATTGGGAAGCACATTATTAAGCACATAAAGTTTATGGCAATACAGAAAAATAGTTTTAATAATATTTAAACTTTTCTTTTGGACTCTTTATCATTTATGTCATTTGTTAAAAACTAGTGTATTCTGGTATTCATCTACTACTGTATATTTTCTTATAAAATGGGGTTTGTCCATTGAGCTAATACAATACAAAATAAAATAATACATCAGCTAACGGTTATAATATTAATGTTACAAATTACAAATTTGGTATAGTAATAAAGTATATTATTATTTTGATGAAAAATTAAGTTATTACACTAACCTTACCTAACCTAACCATGGAGATATAATAAGGGATGTGTACGTAAGAAGTACCTAGCTTATATGTGTGTTCGATAACAAATAAAATGAAAGAAATAAACCGAGATGCAGAGGTGAATTTAACAGGGCTTAACCCACGTCTTAAGCCTCATCATTTTTTTTTTAAACACCCTCGGCGGAGTGGGATCTTGCAATTAGGTGGTTGGATGCTATTTAGAATAATATGATACGAGGACAGCAAGGATTTTTAATCACGCCCGTGGAAAACAATATTAGTCCTAAGCCTATATTAAAGTGATAAAAGAATTAATGTCATGTTGTGTTCCTGTTGAACTATATGAGGCTCAATAGTTTATACACAAAAATATGTATTATTTAATATTATTTAAATATGCGTGAAATGTAATTACCTACATCTTTATTATTTGTAATTATTTCATGTTTATTACTTACCTATTACGTATAGGTCATAAATAACTATCGTTGGGTCATCACTGATTTGTAGGTCACACACTATATTATTATAATGAATGTCGCTCAGACATCTCGCCTCCAGAATCGAAAAACGCTAGAACTTTCATAGAAAATTTTTACCGTATTAGGAACTCTGAGAAGTTTATTGGAATTCTCTATTCCCCCTGTCTAAATTTTACACTGTTATAAACTTATAACTCATAAATATAAAAACAGTAGTCACTAGTTAGTAGCCACCGATGATGTTAATGTTAGGTACTACTATGCGTGTCAAAATGTTTATAAAAATTTATTTTTAACAAAAAATACGGACTAGGGTGAGGATTGCAGCCCCCTGGAGTGAGTCGCCCCTGTCTATTTGCATCTGGATTTAAAATTGAAGATTTCTATTTGAATTTAAAATAATAAAGCTTAAACGATTCCATATAGAGTGAAAAAAAAACCGAAATCAAATTCGCGTAATATCATCCGAGATTATTGCTGAATTTGATAAATAAATCAATATGTATCATAAAATATTTGTGTGGCGGCTATTGAACTATAAGATTATTTTATAGTTCAATGGTGGCGGCAAAACTTGATGGCTGTGAAACGGTACGGTGGTGGAAATTAATTATTTTGTTTATTTATATTGGTTTTTTTTTTCACTATTTCACAATTTGCCGCTGATTGTCATAAAAGACAACCATTGACCACTTTTTATCTATGAAACAGTTGAAAATGATAATTTAAAGTTAACTTTAAATATAGATATACAACGATTGATACAAATATGAGTCATACACTCATACAAATGTTAGTATTACGTTATCACTTATAGATAACATTCAATTTAATTTTCATATTATTCATTAATTTTAAGTTACAATTTCTTGATGGATTGCATGTTTTGAAGTGATCAATTTTATTACATATATAGTGCTGTCAAATAATGTACCTTCTATGAATATAAGTAATATTAAATATGAAATGTAGTTGTTCGTAATAAAATAACTGGTACCATTATTAACTTATAGGTACCTAATATCACTTAAACATTGTCTCTAACCATATTCTTCTTCGCCATGTCCGAACCAAAATCTAAAAAACCAGCTGGTAAATTGGTACATTTTTGTTTACTGTATCAGAGATTTTATTAATTTCTGCATGGGTGTTATTACAGATACGGCATTCAAACAACAACGACTGCCTGCATGGCAGCCAATTCTCACTGCACGGAATGTAATGCCAATATTTTTTGGAGTTGCAGCAGCATTTGTTCCAATCGGTTTAGGTTTGCTGTACCTAACGAATTCAGTAAGTTATTTTTATATAATTATAAACAGGTAATTATTATTCAAACTGATGAAATATATATATTTTCAGGTTCAAGAATTTACTCTTGATTACACTAATTGCACATCATCAAAAAGTGAAATTAGTTGTGCTGATATTATTGGTAGCAATCGTAACATGTCTTGTTATTGTGAAATGCCTTTCATATTAAATGAAACCTTTGCTGTATGATATACATTCTTACTACCAACCTATATGTTATAATATTTTAACTTTTATAGCCCAATGTTTACATGTACTATGGATTAACTAACTATTACCAAAACCATCGACGTTACGTGAAGTCTAGGGATGATTTTCAGTTGCTTGGAAAACTAAGCAAAACTCCATCGAGTGATTGTGCACCATATGATTTTAATGACAACAAGCCTATTGCACCATGTGGAGCTATAGCAAATTCATTATTCAGTGGTAAATATTGATGAAAGTCAAAATAATTGTGACCTATGAATCTATGATAAAATAATACTTTTCAATTTATTGGTAATCCATTACGCATAATACATTTTTAGTAGTCTTAGACAGTTAATATATTAAAAATATATGTAGTATATTTGTATTTATATTTTATCACTTATGAATGGTTTTTACTCATTTATACATTTTAAAAGAATAAATATAAAATTACTGTGATGTGTAAAACTGAAGTGTATTTTGTATTTCAGATGATCTCACTTTGAAGTATAACGAAAAACAAGTTCCATTGCTTCGTACAGGAATTGCTTGGCCATCTGATAAGAACATTAAATATCAAAATCCACCAGGTCAAATAAAAGAAGGTTATACATTTAAATATCGTTTTGTAATTTTGGAACAAATGCAGTTTAGCTTCCAAGTGATATTTTGAAATTGTTTTTTGTATTTTGTTAATATGTATTTTTGCATGCTTAATTTGATGGTGCTTTTAAAAAAAGTTGCTCAAACTTCATTTGGAAGTTATGGTTGATTATTCTAAAAATCGTGTTTTTGAGTTTAAAATACCAAAAAATTATATTTTTTCTTGAAAATGGTAGTAATTATATGCTTAATATTTTGGTGGAATCAGAATTCACCTATCGTACTTGTTTTATATGTTATTGTTAATAAATCACGTAAAACCTAATTATAATGTTATTTCAATCATTTGCATATTAAAGTAAATCAAATTTTTTTTTTCATTCGGTATGTAATAACATAAAGAAGTTTTTGGTGAAATCAAAGGTAAAATGTGATGTTTATGTATCTATAATAGAAAAAATATTTTTCCACTATTTCTTTCAAACTAAAAAATATCAGTTCTGATTTCACCAAAAACTTCTTTATGTTATTACATACTGAATGATAAAAACAATTTTTTTTTAATATGCAAATGATTGAAATAACATTTTAATTATGTTTTACGTAGTTTATTAACAATAACATACAAAGCAAGTATGATAGGTGAATTCTGATTCCACCAAAATGTTAAGCATATAATTACTAACATTTCTAAGAAAAAAATTTGAAAAATGTGATTTTTGGTTTTTTGAACTCAAAAACCCGATTTTTAGAAAAAATCAACCATTTGAAGTTTGAGCAATTTTTTTTAAAAGTACCATCAAATTAAGCATGCAAAAATACATATTTTGGAAAAAAAATTAAAAATATTGCTTGGGAGCTAAACTGCATTTATGTTGTAATTTTTTCATAGTCATAAGTCTCAAAATCAGTTATTTTCCTAGAATAATATATTTGTGTGCATGTGACATATATATTTAATATAAAATAGGATATTTAGTAATGTTAGAATTAAATTCTAAACCATCATTAGTAAATGTTTTTTTACTGTAGGTTGAAGTATGCTAGATTTTACAAACTTATGGTTATGATTTATTGTTAATATTCGTCTAAATTTTCTGTTTTATTCTGGTTTATTTTTAAATGGTGTAACATAGTCTATATTAAAACAAAGCTATTTATCTTGAATTACGATATATATAATAATGTCAAAATATGAAGAAACCACTTTAATGTTATCTAATCTAATTGATAACAATTTTACTCTAAATATATGTGGTTTTTAAAATGATATTTTTTCAATTAATTAGTATGGGTAAACACTTCTTAGAATTTTTGTTACATAATTATTCATAATTTGCAATTTTAAACATTTACTTGAGTGTTCTACTCAAATCTATGCTCTAAATATTTTTATAGAATTTTAATATTATTAACTTAATAATACATAATTTGGTCTAAACAATAGTAAACGATAATGCTAGTACATATATTAGGTTAGGTTTATCTTAAATTATTATAAATATAACAAGTTAGGAATCAGACTCTGAGAACTATTATATTTAATATAATTATTAATTTAAATTAAATAAAACAAAAAATTATGATTCCATAAATAATTTTCATATAATTTATTTATTTAGTAGTACATATTATGGTAAATAGTTGACAGATTATTTTAAAAATTAAGTACTTATTTTTTAATATTGCCATGGCTAGAATAAATTTATATTTAATACTTGTATTTAAATTAATAATAATAATAATTAATGTTATAAATAATATATATCTTATTGCCTTGTTAATTAAATCAGTAACTGTAACTTTATACTATACTCAGTGCCATGAGGGAGTATGACTAGGTGGTGACCAATATATGTTCATTTCAATGCATCTCTACTGTATACAAAGAGCGAACCTTACATGGTGGGGTAAATTTGCCTCGGGACTTTGGAGCTAGATGTGTGTGGTGGTTGTACTCTCTTGTGGCATCGAGCATAGTAACTATAGACAGGCACATCGGGAATATAAAGTGTGTTCTATACTTATGTTTAGAAACCTAAACTATTATTAATTATAAACATATTGAGAAACTTTCATTGTATACTTTCTACACGAATGTTGATTGCACGATATGTTATGCACGTCTTGTGCGATAAATGTGGGTTAGACATTGATTAATGTTATTTTATGTGCTCTTATATTGTAAGTATAGTTATGTATATGTACTAGTCAAATACAATTTCAGGATAAACTGAACCCTTTACACCAGATGTGTTTAGCCTTTAATATATAGTCTTGATATAGAACATTAAATCTATTTCATCTCATTTGTTTTTTTTTTTTTACAATAATAAAAATTAAAAGAGTCATTTTCAGACGTTAACCCCCTCCCCCCCGAATAAGATGGAGTAGCTTGCGGTTGCGGTGGATACATTTTTGATTCCCTAATTTAAAATTATTTCATAAGCAATATAGTAAAAATTCTACCCTATTTTATATGTCAGTAAAGTATACTTTAATATCTCATAATAGTTAACTGTAGTATACACTATATGATACGACCTAGCGTGCCAAATTGTCTCCTAAATAATACACACGGCCACCCCACCTATCCCTCCAATTCCGGGAGATTAGACCCTCAAAGTCCAGTGGAAATAGTGGTAAAGGTCAGGTAATGGGTAGATTAGTGGTGGAGTAATTGCCCAGTAAACAAAAGCCTCATATTTGATTCCTGGTTTGATTACCTGACTTTTAACACTATTTTCCTGATGAGACGGCAGCGACAAATGGCTCACAGGTAGGAAATTGAACTCCGTTCTCCCACACGACAAGGAAGGATACTTAGCACTATTTTATGTACATACTATATGCATACATGGTACACTTATATTATTGTGTTTATAAATTGTAAAATTAAAAAAAAACTATTCTAAGTAGAGTTCAGTATTAAATTGTAAATGCTTATTAAGTTATATTTTTTTTAATCTTCTTAAGTTTTAGACATTGAACTAAATTAAAAATAACCTCTCTAAAGTACTATATGAAGGCATCTAATATAGATATCTGTATAAAGTTGTAATACACTTTTCCAAACAAAGTTTCAAAAAAATTATGTTAAGGACACAGGGTTGTATATATTTAACAATTATTTTAAGATATCTTTATATGTGAGTACCACTTAAGATATGGCTAAACATATTTTATTTTAATTTATTTATATATTTGACAATTATTTACATTTGGTTTTTTTCAATAAAAGTAAAACATATAAATAAATAAATAATTTTTATAAATAACTATACATTGGCTTCTTTAATATTAGAATAATATGATTAAAATAGCGTTATGATGGATAAAATAAAATTTAAATCTACGATTCATAAAGTACAATGTATCAATAAGAATTTTAAATTACGTTTAGTATGTGTTAAACAGATAAATGAAAATATTTATTAAATAACATGTAATTGAGTTTTTATAAGGCTTACTATAGTTAAAAATTAATTTGGTACTTTAACTGTCTAAAACTAACATTTTGCCTTACCATTTTCAAATATTAAAATAGAATGTAAATATTGATTTAATTATAGTTATATTGTTAAAATTTCAATTTAAAAATTTAATTTTTTTTTAGCATTTAAAGATTTTGCAAAACCTATTGACTGGCGTAAGAATATATGGGAATTAGATTTGGAGAATCCATCAAATAATGGTTTTGAAAATGAGGACTTGATTGTTTGGATGCGAACAGCTGCACTACCTGACTTTCGTAAATTATACAGGCGTATTGATCATTCAATAAGTGAATTTGAAAGTGGTTTACCTACAGGAAATTACACATTACTTATAGAATATAGTAAGTGTTATTTAATTTGAAAACAATTTTTACTAACATAATTGTATATTATATAGATTATCCAGTTGCGGGATTTGGAGGAACAAAAAGTTTGATTTTATCAAACACTTCATTTACAGGAGGAAAAAATTTGTTTCTTGGATATGCTTATATTGTGGTTGGATGCATTTGTTTTTTATTGGGATTATTATTTTTGATTATTCATATCAAATACAAGCCTAGGTATTTAAAATTTATGATACTATAAACTATTAATTTAAAAAAATGCATACATAATTTATGATATGGACCCATAAGGATTAACTAATTTAAAATATCTATGTAAAACTATAAAAAATAGTGATATTCTAGTGTTTTAGCAGTTTTATATTTAAAATTAAAACTAATATGCTAATTAATTATGTTTACCCTAATATCCAATGTATTATATATTTCAGTGTAAACGCAGATGTTTCAGTTGTCACACCATCTACGTCATATCAGTGATTCAGAGACTTATAATGTTGAATTACAAAACCTTAAGTTAATACCTTGAATACAATTTTAAAATCTTGAATTACTCAGCCATAGTTTTTAAACAAATAATTGAAATATAAAATCTTTAATTTCAAAATTGGTTGAAATAGTTTTTTTTTTAAGGGTATCCATTAAATGGCAATATTTTAAATGATAAAAATCTTAAACTAGAAGTTTGTAAACTTCAAATTTCCAAAATTAATATTTTGTCTTTCAATTATTTGATTGTTTGTTATTGTAATTTGAGATATCAATATTTAAAGTTTAGAAGCTCACGTTTTGTAAAAGATCTCTGTGATCAAGCACAATTATTTTTGTATAAAGAAATAATATTTTGTGTTTTCTGCACTATTTACATTTAAATGGGCTGTGCTACAACTAATTAACTAGTAAATAATGAGCTTTTTAAAATTATGTGATTTATTGAGAAATTATATTTTTATATAACACATTTTATATTTCACTAATGTATCAACAAATAACTGATTAGTAGGTAATTTATCTTTTAAGTCACTTAATAGGTCAAATTATTAATGTTAAACAAATGCAGTAGGCATTTTTTTAGCTTACTGTAAAAATGTAAGTTTAAGTTGTCCTAAGTTAATAGTTATAATCAATTGGCCATTATTAAAGATAATATTTAAGGAGATACTAGGGACTTGTGCTGTCTTATTCTATCACATGTAAAATATAATTTTTATTCTAGTTTCAACATAAAGCCGGGTTCACATGGAGTCGTAAACTGGTCGAGAATACTACTTGTTCTGCGCATGTCTCACGACTGCTTGATTTTTACGACCAATAATATACGACCTCCAGTTCACACGAATTAGTGTCTGAAAGGCGCGACCAGACACGAACCGCCGCTGACATCTAGTTGTTCATTGTATGTTTTTTTTGTTTGTCTTCTGGGCTACTTCGCGAATACCAAAACCATCGATACTCATTTCATCGCATATTTTTTTTAAGGCTCCATCTCTTGCATCTCTGTCTTTGTATACTTCAGAATTTATTTTTGACAAACGTTCCACATTGTGATACAATTCAACAAATTGAATTGTTTGTTTTGTATTCATTTTGTACATTGACATAGGAAATGTTATTAATTATTATTGTATAAAAATAAAATGTATTAATTTATTTAATTAATAAACTATAGTAAATTGTATTATTTCACTTGGACAAAAATTGAAACAAATACTACGTGTTTATACACTAGAAACTTCACATTTGGTGGGTATTTCATGACTAAACTGGTCGTGTTTACTCCAACATGCCGCAGTAATTACTACCGATCTATTTTTGGTCATTGACGACTCTTACTACCACGACTACCAGTTCACACCAGGTAGTGATCATGACTATCTCTCCTAACAGTAGTATTCTTGCCCAGTTTACGACTCCGTGTGAACCCGACTTAACAATTAATTTAGAATATAATAAGGTTCTCTTCAAATCTGGTTTAAATATATATCACAAAATTTTTTTTGAGTTGTTTAGATTATATTAGTAATTTTTTTTAGTTGTTACGGTTTTTTTTGTTTGGGCGAATACTGGGAAAAGTTAAGAACATTTGGTTAACTATTTCAAAATAAATTTTGCAATAAATTCAATTTGGTTTTGTTAACATAGCTTTTTGCATCACATAGTAATTGCCAGATGTAGGATCTAGAATAAAGCGTAACTATATAGTTTTATGTGTGATTAGACAGAATTAATTCTCCTTTTAGCGGAATTCATTTAACCTGTATAATTACTGTTAAATAGTTACTAAAATACGATTTTATAATTTAATTTATTATAGACATTTTTTATTTTTACAATACATTTTAAAGAATTAAATTATATATTTGCACAATTTTTAAATGTGATGACAATGCTAAATAATAATTTGAACTTTACGTTTCTAGTCATCTGATTAATTTTGTTAATTTATAATTAATTTTTATTAAGACTAAATTTAGAGCAATACAAGATTTGGAGTTGCTTGGTTATTATTATCTGTTGAAAATTAAATTATTTATTTGTTTTTAAGTTATTTTATTATTTTATTTTATTTTAAAAAATATTTTAAACATTAAAATTTGTATTGATGAGCATTTTTTTAGAGTATGTAAACCATCTTAAATAGTAAATACCAATGTAAACTTCATTATTGCGCAATATAAATAAATAAGCTAAATTGATTGAATAATAATTACAACTGTGTTAAAATAATAATTTATAATTATCTGTGCTACTTTTTAAAATTAATCTGAAAATTGTTAAATTATAAGTGTTATTACCCAAATATTTTTATATTAAATTAATTTTCATATGCATAAATTGATGGATTATAAGTAAGGTTTTGCACTCAGATTAATCTAAATAATAAAGCAGATTAAAAAAATAAACAGCTGAATTAACCAAAAATATAGTTGAGTTAATTCAAAAAAGGTAAATGTCTTTAAAATTAATTATTATATCAATTTGTAGGGTTGTATTTTATTTCAATTTACATGATAGTTTGAATGTTTAAAGTATACAAATTGTAATCTTAAAATTATATGAAATAATCACTAATAAATAAAGACAAGCATTATATTGCAAACAATATTATTATAGTTCATTAATATTGATAACAGTATATATTATATCCACAATTCTATTTATTTGTTTTTCTCGACTCTTAATGCTCGGGTATAATACAATTTTGTAATATGAAAAAAATATCACACTCATTAGAGTTTTGTTTAGGAAACTGAAAAGTTTAATTCTAAGGCTGGTCTCTTCGGTTGATAAATTAACATTTTAAAGTTTCTAAATAATCCTAATTGATGGTCTATAAAGATCCGAATATCTATTTAAAGTCTGGACATGTGTTTCAACTGATTTTTATTTTTATTTAATATTATTACACAAACACTTGCCTTATTTTAGATTCAGAGTATAGGAGTATTTTACGAGTTGTTTACATAATTTTTATTCGGTAGGTACTCTATAGATACAATTGTTAGACCAAACAGTAATGCTTGAAAATTTAACACAAAGTTCATTATAAATTGATATTAATGTTTTGTTTTTTTTTTTAGAAGCATGGTTTGAAGTAGAAGACTTAAAATCAATTTAACATGTTACAACAATATTATAATTATACTTTGTACATACAATTATACCGTGCCTATAATAAATATATACCTAGGTATGTAGTCGTTTATCGACGAAGTATAGGTAAGTAGTAGGAATCTACCTAAGTCTAACTTATATTTAATTGCCCTTCTTTATTGGATGTGTATCTACTTATGTGACTATGTATTGTAGGAACACAGCAACATTTAAAATAAAATGATGTAAGAAAATAAAAACTTTTAATTTGTCATTTTTTTTAGTTTAAATTAGTTCAAATATTTTGGTATTTTTAAGCGCTTATAATATTGATTAAGTTTATTGAATATTTACTTATAAGGGCTTGGTTTGATAACTTAGCTGTATTTTATTATTTTTTGGTAAATCCCTTCCGTATTTGTACAAATGAGGCATAATTATAGCACTGCATATAATTTAATTTCCCTCAGAATAGTTTTTCATTATATACATAAATACTTACTTAAATTAAATAACATAAAGTAGGTATCTTATCTTCTCAGTACTGGTCTAGGTTTAAAGTTCCAGCACTGAGCACAAGCATATAGGTAGCTTATAAGTAATAGGGAGTGCTGCAATATTATAAATTATATTGAAAAATAATATTTAGATATTTTATTGTTGCAATAAAATTGTATTACTATTTATTACCTACTCAATAATTATATTTTGACGCTCTTTTGTGGTTTGACCTGTTTTTCTTCCTATATATTAACTGTTAGATAAATATAATGAGTTATTACCTTGAGTTATGGGGAAAGTGGGTAATTTGAAAAAATATATAAAACAAATTAAACTAAAAATTTAATTTTCAGCAAAATCATAAACATAAAATTTTAGCATAATGTAGGTGTAAATAATATAAGTTGAACTTTTTTTTTTTCAGTGACCCACCATCTAAACCTATATGTATGTATATATATATATATATTTTTTATATACTTCCTTAACATAGGTAGGTACTTATAACTATAAGTTTTTCATTTGAATACCCAAACATGCAATATTTTTAAGAATATTGAGTGCCCAAACGTTGTGTGGATTTTGAATATGGAAAAATGACTACAAATTCTTACCTCCTTCGAGTATCACTAAAACCTGGTTTATGAACAAAAAAAAAGAAAATATATTTTCTATATTATTAGTCATCATGTGGCATACTATTATTAGGTTATTTTGTAACCATTCTGGTACATACAATTTTTAATTTTGAGCACTGGTTATAAACAATATTAGTAATATTGGTATAATACCTATACCATATTCCAAATAAAGATAGTTTTGGTAAATTAAAGCAGTTTTTTATTAATGTAGGTACTCTAAAATGCATATATACAAGCAAAGCAAAACTTACTAATAACATGTTCATAATTTTCAAGGAGACAAATAGTAAATATTTTCTAATTTCTACTTAGCATCTAATGTTAAATTATACTATTTTACAAAGATAAAACATCATTTTGTATTACTTTTACAGTATTTCATAAATGTAATACAAGGATATTTTTCATTACTTAAGCATTTATAATAAATTTGTCTTAAAAAAATCAATAGCTGTATGTAAAATTATATTTTATAATACATATAACGTATAAAAGTTAAAATTAATAAAAATGATACCCATTCTTAACAGACAGGATTATTTATATTTTATATTTAATTGTCAATATTGTGATAGATCATATTTTAGTAATACTATGGAGGATTTAGGGATGAATCACTAACTGTTCACTCACCTCATATGTGACCGCAGTTTGGACTTATTACTGACCATGCAAAATTTGAAAAAAAAAAAAACAACTAAAGTAACAATTGTATACTAATCTAAAATATGAAGATGAGTTGGAAGAATTAAATAGCAAATCCGAAAAATATTTTACCAAAAGATTCAAAAATAGATTTTTAATAATAATTTAGGTGCAGAAGTGTCAAAAACTGAACAGTCATTTTTTGATCACAAATGATTTTTGAGTTTTCTCTGGTGGTTTTAGTGAATTTTTTTATTATTTTGTAAATATTTTTTCTTTTCATACTAAAATACAAGGTTTCTTTTTTAATTTATTTCTTTTTAAATTATGTTGTAGTCATAATGATATTAATTTTCTCTTAAATTGTTAAGCGTCTTTTTAACACAGTATCTCCAATTCAAAATTTATTAACATTTATAATGTTAAGAGTTAATTCATTAACCATTATTATTACTTAATATATGATTTGTTTTTATGGTAGGTATTGCAACTAGGTATTTATAATCATATAGATTTTATTTTAAATTTAAAATAAAAATGATTAATCATTCTTTCTCATAAACTAGTTTAGTACCTATTTTGTTTATATTTTATATAGGTTTTATACAACCATCAAAGACTTTTAATAGTTCGTATACTACGTTTTATTTAAATTAGTTGGCCAAAAAAGTAATCGCTGTAGATATTAATGAACATAATGAAATAAATAAATGAAATACAGAAAATAATTTATTATTATAATAATTATTACTAATAATATATTTTTTTAAACATTAATAAAAGAAATCACTATGAGTTACCCAAGATCAGACCTGTTCAACGATAGCAAGGCAAACTCTTCGCTGGTCGGATCGATAGTGGTGAAAACCGATTCGGTGAGTTTCTATTCGTTCAAGGCCAACAGCACATACGTGGTAAAGAGCCACGGGCCAATGCTACTATTGCGTCAAACAGACGATCAAGAAGGGTGTGTTGAACAGGAGCCCATGGAGATCCTGGAGACCATTAACAAATGTATTAACAAGGTGGTAGTGCCAAGCGGAAACACCATAGGTCTGAAGATGGTGGCCGTAGGCGTCACCAGCCATAGAAGTTCGATGTTGGCTTGGGACAGATGGACGGGCCACCCACTATGCAACGTGATTATGAGGAGTGACAACAGAGCTACGGAAATTGTAAACGAGTACTTGCAGATCTATGATAAGTACAAGTTCCAGACGGTTTGCGGCCTGCCTTTGAGCCCTCTCTTCAGCGCGTTTAAAATCAAATGGCTTTTGAATAACAACACCAAAGTGCAGGTTGCGTACGAACAAGGCAGGTGTTATTTCGGTACGGTGGACACGTGGATTGTGTGGAACCTGACCGGTGGAACAAAAGGTTGTATATATTTACTGTCAGGTTAACCGAGGTTTTCCGATAAATTTTATTTAGATACGGATACCTAATATGTATTTCCGTCAATATACAGGCGGAGTGTTCGCCACAGATTCTTCGAACGCATCCAACACGTTTTTAATGAATATCAACACGTTACAATGGGACCCGAAACTGTTGAAAATGTTCGGTATCAGCCAGAGTAGTCTGCCGGAAATACGATCTAGTTCCCAAATTTACGGAAAATTTGCAGACGGCCCTCTGAAAAATATACCGATTTCCGGTGTGATTGGAAATCGTCAGGCCGCTCTTGTCGGCCATCGATGTTTTCGACGAGGAATTACAAAAGCCACGTTGGACGAAGGCGGATCGGTATTCACCGTAACCGGTGAAAACAAAGTGTTCTCTAAAAACGGTCTACTCACGACGATCGGGTATCACATTGACACGAGACCGGTATACGCATTAGAAGGGCCGATCACTTCAGGTGGCGCTGGCATCGAATGGATGGAACACATTACACGATTAAAAACCAATAAAATTACACACTGTTTAAAAGCCGGCAAGAGAATCAATAATCCGAATTCAATTTGCTATATTCACGCGATAAATGGTAGGCAAAATCAATCATCTTATACATTATTAACGAATTCGCGATTAATTGGTTTTTTTTGTGAATTTTCGGTATCGCGAATACACGAGAAAAAAATCACGAACTAATATAAATTATAATATACTATCCGTGGTTAAAACGTAAAATATGATCAAAGAAATCATAAATATTTTATTATCGAATCATAGAGTTCGAAAAACTTAAGATAGGTGTTGTTGGGCCAGCGATTTAAAAAAAAATTAAAATTAAAATCTAAATTTAAAAAATCAAATTCTAATGGGAAGGTGAACCACCTACCTTCCTCCCCCCATAGCTGTCACTGCGTCATAATAGCTATCAGTATATGCTAAATTTCAGTTCGTTCCTTCCAGTAGTTTGAGCTAGGCGATGATGAATCAGTTAGTCAGGACATGTTATTTTATATTTAGAGAAGATAATTCTATCTATAATCATTATATCTAACATCCCATTTACCTACCTATAAAAGTGGTCTACGCATAAGCAGTCGCAACTTTTTAAAATTCAAAAATTCTCTTACGTCCCCTCCCGAAAATAAATTCTAGATAGTCCAGAGATAAAGTCCTGCGTACTTTTATGGGTTCGACCAGATTGAATTCTAATATTAATTTTTGATATTAACAGGGGTAAGTATAAACTATAGAAAATATTTCGATTTCAAAAAACACGATAAAACTATCTAAAAATTTTTATTATATGTATTCTAGGTCTATATGCCCCTCACTGGAGGCCTGAAGCTTTGGGAGTTTTAGTTGCTGATGAATTTAACGCTGAAGACATGCTTAGGGCCGCGATGGAGTCTGTCAGTTTTCAAACTGCTGAAATTTTAAAGGCTGCCACCATGGACCTGAAAATACCTATTGATAGGATAAAAGTTGATGGATACTTGGCAGACAATAAGTTCATCATGGAATCCTTGGCTGACTTCATTAACGCAAAGGTGGAAGTGGCCATGTGCAAAGAGATGACGGCGTTAGGCGCAGCGATGGTAGCCGGGTACGCACCTGAGGTGAACGTATGGAATGTAATGTGCATGGCCGAAGACGTTAGCATCGCTAACTATAAGCCGACTTTAAAACCCGACGAGCTGAAAAAGAGATGGTTTGATTGGAATAGAAATATTAACCGGTGTTATAATTTGGTTGATACCATTGGAAGGTCGGAGGCTCGATAGCTTGTGGATTGATTTTATTAGGCAGCTATTTGATGTTGAAGAAATAACATCACGAACCATAAGCTTTATTTAAATTGCTTATAATCATGTTTTAATGAGTTATCTTGCCCTAAGCAATGTATATTTTATTTTTTTTGCATCTCAATATCTTACTTGTCTCCCTCTGTCTGATTTTATAACTTGTTGAAAATTATCTTTGTCTTCTGTATCTGATAGTCATCTCTTCCTCGCTTTTTTTCTTCTGTCTGTAGTTTTCTCACATATTGTGTTAAACCAGTTGTTTTTTTATTCTCTTTTGTTTTTCCGAGGTTTCTTAAATAACTTTTTATATCCTTCCACATTCGTTCCACTTCCCCGTTACAGTTTTGTCGCTTTTTGAGTTACCTAGGTGGTGTTTATCTTTGTTGCTCTAAAGATAAACACCTTTATCTTTTTTATTATTACTCTCTTCTTCTTCTAATATTAGAAATGTCTTATGACATATTATAAATACATTGTTCCGTTTTACTACTTTATTGTTTTAAGTACTTCGACTAAATATGATGTTAAAGGTAATGTCTTTAAAATCACACCTTCACTCCATATCTTACTTATCACATATTGTATCCATACTTTATCTCCTGCCTTATACTGTGTTTCTTTAACACTTGTTCTATTATAGTATTTAGTTAATTTTTCTTTGTTTTCTAATACTGTTTGTTTTATATGCTACTTCATAAATTACTTTCGGTTTTAAGTTTTCAACTGTAAAAGGAATTTTAAATCTAAGCTCTCTCACTCATCAATATTTTTGATGGTGAGTACTGTAATCCTGCAACTGCACTATTATTGTAATTTAACTTAAATATTTTAAATTCTTTACTCTTATCATGATAATTTTTAAGCATTACTTTTTGGATAGTTTAGTGATGCTGTATTTATGGTAAAATTACATTTCTTAGCAAATTGTTTGCACTCTTGTGAGCCAAAGAGCATACCTGCTATTACTACTTAAGGTATTCCATGTGTACTAAACATTAGTTTTTTCCCACACTCTATTTTAGTTTTGTTATTTAGTAATTTTACCTCTATCCACTTCGACAAATAGTCTATCAAGATTAAAAAAATGTACCCGCATACTCTGCTATTTCTACAACTACTTTATTAAATGGTAAAAATGATATTTGATGATTGATTAACTGTCTTTTTATCTGTGATTTAGAAAATTTGTTCTATATTTTACACCTATTTATAAACAGCTTTAAATCTGAGATCATTGCTTGCCAATAAAATAATTCTTTAGCTATTTAATAAATTTTTACAAAATCTAAATGCATTTCATGTAATAAGTTCAATGTATTTTTTCTTAAAATATTTGTTTTTATCAATCTTGTTTGCAATATATAAAATTTTCAGTCATTTCTATTTCATTTTTATTTTTGAAAAAATATTTTATTTCATTTTATTTATCTATTACATTCGGCCATCCATTTTTATAATATTCAATTAGTACTTCTAAATTTTTGTCCTCGTTTGTTTCTCTTTGAAAATGTTTTAGTTTTTCTTCACTAAATTCAATATGTTTAATTCATACATGTATAACTCTTCTTATACTTCTTGCATTTCTATATTACATCTAAATACAAAATCCCCTACAATGTTCTTCTTTCCAGGGATATACTTCAATTCAAAGTTATAAATTATTAATTTTAATCTCAATATTTTAATTCTAATCTGTATCTAGTCCAATGATTTTTTAATAATTGATGTTAAGGGCATTTGATCTGTGTTAAGAGTTAATTAAGAGTTAATTCATTAACCATTATTATTACTTAATATATGATTTGTTTTTATGGTAGGTATTTATAATCATATAGATTTTATTTTAAATTTAAAATAAAAATGATTAATCATTCTTTTTTCAGTAATAAGATGGATAATAAAATCCGTTATATTTTTAAATGGTAAGATTTGTTTATAGTAATTAAAAGACACTTACTATTATTTATATTTGATATTTAAGCATTATTGTGTTTTATTTATTCCACAATTAAAAGTATTTATATTTTTACAAGTCACATTGTTACTGAGGAAACTGAAATCAAGATTGCTGTGTCCGACAATTTTGTCCTTTTTTACCACTTTGGAGTTTCGATTGCGTTCAGTTTTAACAGGTATACATCCAATTGCAGCGATCAACAATAATTGCCAAGGGTAAAAATTCATAAATTGTTCAATATCAAATAAAAACAATTATGTAGAACACACAATCTTTCGGTAAAATAATAGTAATTAATAATTTATTATTATATCTAATGCTGCGGGTCTTACAACAATATATTTTCTGTTGCTTTTATTTTAACACTGTTGCTTAAGAATATAGAAGAATCGGGTTCATGACAATGATTTATAAATATACTTTTATTTCTGATAATAACTCTGGTCCAATTTTCTTTACATAACTCTTACATTTATTTTCTCTTATCTAACCGTAAATGTGCATATTTTACGCCAAATGTTATAATAGTAAAAAAGTGGTCAATAATGGTAAACATAAAAATTATACCATATGACTATATTTAATTTGATTAATTAGTCATATATGTCTTACACAAAAAATAGATATTTTATATACATCTAAAATGCTAGTTTTAATACCAATAAAAGACAGTCTTAAACATATATAATATTAATTTAGACTTTAAATAGTTCTCATTAAAACTTATTTTATAACGTAAAAGTAACATCTATTAAACACCAAGTTATGTAATAAAATAATCGAGAAATGATAAGCACGATTAACAATAGTTAGGTACCTGAACAATAGCTAAGTGCTTCCGGTTCTTAGAGGTATAAAATTGCAATTACTTACCTTAGTCTATAGAAAATTATATTCTATGTATTGTGTAATGTGGATTATGATTTTTGTTTTTTAAATGAATGTTAAGAAGTTGTGAGGGGTGGAGTGAAGCTCATTGGGTTGAAGGGATCAGTGTATTGCAAGGGCTGTTACTTTTTTAGGTCTCATAGTTCTGTTTTTTCATTTTTCCAATTCAAGCACTGTCCAATTAATAGGTACTTAGGTAACCTATTAATTTGAAATTATTATTTTTCATTATATTTACTTTTAAATAAAATCTGATAACTCGATATCTATATTAAATTCACATTAAAAAATTCATGTCGGTTGATAATAAATGTAATAAATTTATGTTTAATTGTTAACAAAAATATTCAGTAACCTCTAACGTTCAAATTTTAATTGGGGTTATTCAGAAATTTGGTTATTGATAACCTCAATTTTCTTTCAACAGCCAAAATTTGTATAAATGATTGGAGTAGCTATTTAGCTTTGATTATAAGTTAATATTTTAATAATAATAAACTTTCTACATTTAACTGTTTTAAATTATACAACTTATTGCTTTATTATATCAACTTTTAGTTGTATCTACTGTTTTTATTAGTCCACAACTAATTGACTAATGAAATATGAAATATTAAAATATGTTTATTTATATTTAAAATATTAAATTCAGAATGATGGTTAATGATTATGAGTTATGACATAAAGAGTAAAATAATAATTGACTTAGGTAAAAAGTTTTTTTTTATAATATTGTCAAAAAATATGTTTCTTTATCTTGAATAATTTTTCTTTTATTAACTAAATTATTATTTTATAAAATTAAATGTAAACTATGTATTTAAAAGTGAAGAATAAATAAGTATGCACTTATGAATATTTAAATCATAGGTTATGTTAGCATAAGTTTGTTATAATGGGGTTTGTGAGGACCTCTTAAAAATGTCGAAATATTCACCTATAAAATATTTTACATATTCTACAATATATTATTTAATAACAGTAACTAAAGAAATACTATCAGTTAAACTGCATTAACACATGTGTGTAAATAGGTATTTCAAAATATACTGATTTGCTTCATAATGATTGAATCCAATGTTAATCATATAATTATTCGAAGACGAATGGGTATTTTAAATGGAAAAAAATTAAATATTAAACCAATAGGAATTGGTGATGGAAATTATTTACGGACATTTACTAATGCTACAAGTTTACATGGTGTAATTTATATAGGGGAACCCAAAAGACCATATTTAGAAAGGTTAGTATTTAGCTATCAGTTTAAATAATATTATATTACATCATTAATTTATGAAAATTATTAAAATCTCTAATTTATAATTTGATTTTTGCAAATTATACAAAAAAAATTGTGAATAACATTAATTTAGATAATTAAGAATAATTTGTGTTTCCATTTCAAATTTATACTTAAATAGCCTAATAAGTACTTACTTGGTATTTTTATACAATTTGTGAACATTTATACATAATTGTAATATTCATGTTTCTAATTTGATATTTTAAAAAAACTGTAAAATACTTGTATTGTATCATGTAATATACAAGTAAGAAAACATTTCTAGGCTCAAAACTTAATGTATTTTTATGTTTTAAGGATTTTATAGGGTAAAATAATTTTTCCCCGATATATTACATGCAATTTTATTTTAGATTCTGAACTCAAATCTGATTCTTGGTTTTAATATGTGTGCACCTTTTTCTTTCTGTCTAAACAACTTTTCTACCAGTAATCTTACTTCAATGATTTTGGAATTTTCTTGTAAAATTTTTGATTTAGTTAGTACATTGAGGTAGCCTTTTTTTTGATTTTCTAAGTAGTTATTATAATAGTTAAGAAAAAACTGAAAAATATATGACTGTAAAAGTTGTATTATTTGTCTACTAGAAATTTACACCAAAATAGCTGTTTTAATATTAGCATTTATTCTGAAAGAAAATTATGTCTAGTTGATGTATAAGTAAAACTTTTAAATTAAGCCATTTTAAAACATGTTAATCAAACATAACTTAGAATTTTATTTTATCAGTAATGATTTATCATTGTGTATACTGAACAGAGATAAATCAAACGGCTAGGTATGTATCCTATCATCCTAAGTTCTCACCCAAAATCAGTGTCACATCCATTAGTAGTAGATAAATTTTTTTTAATTTTAATTATATTTATTAGAATTCAAGGGAAAAGTCTCATTGTAAATTAAGGTATAAATTTAATTTACAACCCAAGCTCAATTTTTCCAAATGTGTGGCTTCGCTTGTACATTAAGAATCTAAAAAACAAATGTCAGACGAACTTGCTATTTTTCAAGGTTTATGTACATTAACTATAAAAGTATGATAGGTATGTTTTGATTATACCAACGGATTAGGCATTAAATCTCTCATATTATAGAAAATAAATAAATTAGAAAATGATAAATTCCCACTAAGAAATATGCGAAACTAAAAACCAGAATTTCATAGTTTTCCACATACCTTTCAAATGAAGTTTTCAGACTTTTTTTAGATTCTTTATGTACAGGCAAAAATACACATTTTAAAAATGAGCTTGGGTTGTAAACTAGATTTGTTCCATTAATGTAGGCAATCTTATTTAATTTTTTTTTAGCAAAATAATGATTTTTTAAAAACTAAAAAAAAAAATGTATATTGTCATCACTTGAACCATTTTTTTAAACCAAAAACGTTCTCATTTTTTTCGCGAAAGCTTTATAATAAACACATCAAATTTAACAGAAAAATCTATTTAATAATTATTAGGGCTCGGAAGTTATAGGAATCGCATATTTTTCTGTATGCACTGAATTTATAGCAGACAAAGCTAGAAATACGCTCTATACAATGGAGAGTTTAAAAATTTAACTTTTAAAATGCACATTTCGTTGGTTTTTACATTTTCATGCATATTTATTAATTTCTAAAAATATTGATTTTTTTTATCTTTCCTGGCCAATTCATTTTACATAATATAAAATTTAAAATTCAATATTATTTAATGTAGTTATTTATTATTATTTCTTTAATAATTATCTAATTAATCTAATTATTAATTTAACGACAACAGTGCTATTCATATTTAATCTTTATCTTAGTTTTGTTTATTAATAATTAAATTATATGTTTTTGAATAATAATCTGAATTATTTTTTACGTATTTAACATTTTTCCATGCATATTTTAGAATTTTTTCGTGCATGTTTCCATACATATTTTGCCTTTTTTAGTACCTATAACTTCTGAGCCCTAATAATTATCTTTTAAATATTACAATTTATGTAAAATTACATATTTTATCAGGATATTTTGGATATGTGTTATGTCTTCGGTATTCCTTATTTGTGGATATCAAATACATCAATTGTTAAACAGTTGGATGGAAAGTCAAATAATCACAACACTGAGTGAAAGTAATAAATATTCTTTATCAGCTTCAGATTATGTGCCATTCCCTGGAATTACAATATGCAGTGATTTACAATTGCAATACCTTGAAAAAAAAAAAACCATTGTTAATCAAACACTTCACAAGTATCTATTATTACTATGATAATTAATAGGAATTAGTATCTAGGTGTATAAACATATATTTAACATTGCATTTATTTCAGTGAATATGAAGATGGTATTAACTTGCTGTGTCATATTTATGAGCCTAATCTAGCTGTAAACCAAAAATTTATTAACCCAAACTCATGGAATTTATTAATAAACGTAAGATTTGATTGCCAATTAATTTTCAGTGACTTGATCGATATTTGTGTACTTCTTATACATTTAATGAATGAGTATAGTTTTTTAGATTATAAATACCCATTAGTTATTATAAACAACTTTTTGAGTATTTATAATATTATTAATAGATAGGTACCTATTTATTGATTGTGTTGTTTGGTTTTGTAATGTTTTTAAATTTGAAAAACACTTTTAAACATTACTACTAATATATATAGACTATAGATACAAGTACCATATTTAATTGTCTTATAGTAACATTTGATTAAAATCAAAAATTAAAATTAAAGATTTTACAACAGGTTATTATAAAAATGAAAGTTTTGAGTTTGAACAATGTAATATATGTTTTATACGTGTTACATTATTGTTTACCAATGTTTTATTTTTAATAATATTCATATAATTATATGAATATTTTAATATTGTTGTCAACATGTTTTCAAATTGTGACCAAAAAATGTTGTGCGAGCCAAATATTAACACATTTAAAATGTATTAAAAGTTATACTTAAATCAAGTTGCTGTAGAAATTAATTAATGAAACCAGATTTAATATGTATTTACATATTTTATATAATTTATTAAAGGAACATAGAATTTTTTGTAAACAGCGAGTTGTATCAATATCTTGGACCCAAGAAAATATTGACATACCTTGTCAATATTTTCAACCAATTTATACAAACTATGGCATTTGTTATTCAATGAATATGATTCCTTTCAACCAGCTACTTAGTAACGATTATAATCTTGTGTAAGTTTCAGTTTGTAAATTCTGTGGAAAAGCGCAGCTAATTAATAATATTTATATATTATATATAGTTTGTCAAAATTAACTCATCCTAAGTCTGATATTATTACAAAAGCAAATGAAACGATGTGGAATCCAGAAATTGGTTTTAGTAAAAATGCAAAACCATTTCATATACCATGGAAAGTTATAGGTGATACTATTGAAGATTCAGTTACAATAAAATTTAATTTAAAAAAAGAAAATACAGGAATACACTGCCCGATAACAGATACAGGAATGACTGTAAGTATACTCAACTAAATATTAATTCAATTTTAAAATATTTGAAGTATAAAGTTCATTGTTAGTATACCTACCTAATACTTAATTTAAAAAGTTATATTATTATTTATAATTTGAATTGAGTTAATATATTTTTGTTAGGTTTATCTACCCATCACCACGTTTTAAGATATACAATAGGTATCATTGTAGACGTCTTAAATTGTGCCTACAGCCAACCAATACAATTAAGATGTTATGATGTCTTAGTTTGTGTTTCATCTATTGGTATTTTCATTACTAGCACAAAGTTATCAAGTCAATTGCATACTATTATATTGTTACATACAGTAGCACCTCAAAATTGCTGACTTTTGGAAACAGGAATTTTAAACTGCAATTTGAACTTCTCTGAAAAGCAGAGACTAGTTTCAAGACGGGCACATTTTATTGGTTATTTTATTGTATTTTGTTATTCTAAAAAGTAGTTGGAAATATAAGAATTATTAGTGCCCCCCCCCCCCAAATTGCTTTTGATTACGGTATTATAGAATATCTAGTACCGAAGAATAATGCACAAAGCTTTGAAGCATGAGTGTCTAAATAGCTCATACTTACCAATTTTTCGAGTCAGCAAGGGAAGTAGTATGTGTTAAGGGCAGAAGTATGTTATGAGAGAGTGGAAGTTCAGGCTGCGCATTAATTTGATTAAAACAGTCGTTACCGGGAAAGTCAAAATGTTTCTTGATGGGAAGCTTCAAGCAGCCATCAATTTCTAAACATATTATACATAACATAACATATTACAATATATATATATATATATATGGCGAGATGCCTATATAGGCACCTACTAATAATAAATACCTACCCTCCTAACTACGGTACTCTCAGCTTCTCTGTTATCTGGCTGTCATCAGACAAGAGAACTACCGGATTAACCGTTAATCATTAACGAAAACGCTTAATTATTTTAGGTTCAAATAAAAAGGCATTTTTACTTATTAAAAATCCCTAATTCATTTTATTAAAACATAGATAGTAAATACTTACTGATTTACAACACAATAACTAACCGGATACATAATAAACACGTCAATGGTAACTGTATAACTAAAATAAAATATCTAATCGGTTCATTCGGTAATCGGTTAGTTTTAATTGTTTATGATAATAATTTTACGGTTATTAAACGAAAAAAAAGTAGGATTATTGCACAGCCGGATTATCGAGAGTGCTGTATTGAATAATAATATTTAATTTTTAATTTTTTGTTCTAGTTGTTTCTGCACACTCCGAATGATGTGCCTGTTAGTATTCAACCAACTGCATATATTAGCGTTAACAGCGTAATTTATGTTACAACAACGTTTACTATAAGGAAATCATCTGAAAATCTTTCTGGTTGGAAACCAGAAATTCGACATTGTTATTATCAGCACGAGAGAACATTAAAGTTTTTCAAAATGTATACAATTAGTAACTGCGATATCGAGTGTAAAGCTAATCATTCGTTGAAAATGTGTGGTTGTGTGGCTTTTTATCATCCAAGTGAGACCATCATCATTATTAGTACTTACCGAAACTTATTTTTATCCAAGTATAACCGACAGCAGTAAGGGGTCTGTTTGACACACTACTTCACACACTGCTGCCACCGTTTATTAAAATATAACTTATACCGTATGTACATTTTACGCCTTTCCCTGGGGGGAGGCTAATATATTCATAAGTCACACAAATCAACCTTTGGGGAATGCGCGGACCAGCGAACATCCCCCCTGACGAGCTGTGGTGGACCCAGGTGAAGGCCCGACCTTTTCACGAACCGGTTAGAACCCGCCGGTCCGGGATCTCGTCCATGATACCACTTTGCGGCAGGTGGCGTGAGCGCCAAACGGCCCGGGCAGTCGTGCGACGTGTGTCCGGTGGCGGCCGTTCTTCCCTCGCCTCGGAGCAGTGGCGGCGCGGAGGTGTATTTCAGTCGAGCGATTCGCAGAAAAAATTAAAACGGGTGTGTTGGTCGTGGGTGCCCGGGTGTCCTGATATGCAACGAAAGTTTTACAAAGCAAAGTGATTACAAGCATTTTAGACTGCTGAAATTTGACGAATTTTATTGAAATGTGTTAAGTTCCATTGGAGTTTTGGTAGAGTTGGGTGGGTGGGCGGGTGGAAAATTGAATGGGCGACTCGCGGTAAAAATACTCGGCGCCGCCAACGCCTCGGAGAGTGCCTGCCGACCTAAATGCCTACACAGCACGCCTATAGAAAATACTATTAATATCAATACGGGACACGCCAATGTTAAAATGCTTGCGACATACTGTACGACCCCAGACGGTACAGTCTCCAACTAGAATACACCGGGTTTGCGCGTCGTGACTGTGACCTAACCGCCCGATTTACCACCACTACGCGGCCAACGGCACGCCGGTTACTGAACGGCAGACGCGCGGAAACGAGAACAAAAACTGGTCGGCACCCGGCGTATTCTGGTTTGTGACGGAGTACGGATATTATCACTATAAGTCGCGGTGGTTGCGTGTATGAGAAACCCTTGGGCGCAGTCGATCTGTGATAAAGAAAAAAAATCCTTATCGTTTTTTTTTATTTTCTTCGTCTAAAATCGTACCTACTTGAATTTTCAACGTTTGGAATTTGAAATTTGAACAGTTCTGGACTTCAGTGTTTATTCCGATCTTCGTATATTTTAATATTATAAAGTTTTAACAATATGTACAACAGTCGAAAATTAAATACTGTAAAAAGCCATTTTGGTTACTGTATGAACTATTTATGAGAAACCTTGTTCTTTTGTTAAATTTTAAAATTTTTTGTTTGAGCAATAAATTATTTATAGACTAATTTAAAAAAAAAAAAATCAATAAATTCTTATAGCCAAATATAGTCAAACAATTTTATTATCCACGGAAAATGCTCATATAAATATTTGGTGAAAATTTAAAGCATTTCTACTGTTAGATTTTAGTTTCTGAGTTACATCAAGTTTTATCAAAAAAAAAAAAACGGGTGCGTAAAAATTATACCATTTATTCTTATTTTTGTTTATTTTTTTTTTTTTGGTTTTGCTGATGCATTTGAAAACTACTGGGAATTTTTTACTTTTTATTCCCCAAAATATCAACTATTTTTTTACAAATTCACTCAACTTCTAAAAAAAATTTAGTACTATTAGTCTGTCTTATAAATTTTAAATATTATATTTTAGTACTACTATGTAATAAGTATAAATAATCTCTAAACATTTTTCTACTGCAACACTTACAATTTTTCATTTGCTGGAAATGTATGGAATTTTAATTATTTTTACTACTTTTATTGCAGTTCCAGTATCAACAAGTCATGTGAGAATACTATGTAATGAAATAAGTACAAAGAACAAATAACACAAATAAATAGTCAGTAAATGTAAAGAATAATAGATATATATATATATATATATTCTGTATTTAAACAAACCATTGTTATCATTGTCAAAAATTATATTACCAAATAATACAGACATCTATTTATAGTAATGGCTATTACGTTTAGACAACTTAACAACCTCGGTATGGGCCGATAATCTATTTCTTATGTATATTTGAATTTCCAATCATTAATTGATATGTACTTAATATAATATTAGATTCGTTGCTGTAAAATGTTTTTAAGTTGGCATCCCCTACGGTTTCAAAGGGACAAAATGTGTCGCGCTTTTTAATCGATGTGTCCCGTATTATTATTTGTAGTATTTACCGCTATGATATAAGTACAACAGTACATATTGATACTTGTACTTATAACCTAATGATTTTAATTTTACAATGTTTTTCATCACCATTCAAATTAAAACTTTCTCAATTAATACTTTACATTTTAAGGTAGCTGTGGGGTCAGCCTCCTCCCTTCCTCGCTTCATTGATTATGTATATACAGGATGATTTTTTCATCATGAACCAGCAATTATCTCAGAGGATTTTAAGTGAATTTGATTTCTGTTTTTTCTAATCGTTATGGAATCGTTTAAGCTTTATATTAAAATCATTTTTAATTTTTTACCTCTACTCTATATACTTTAAATAAGTGCATACTTTTGATTTTCAAATAAGAACCCACCCCCCTTTTTTGAACACAGATTTAAATAGAGAATATTTTTCTATAAACTTTGATATGCATAATACTAATATCAGATTTACTGTTTATGAGTTACAATAATTTAAAGTTTAAAGTTTAGATGGGAGAAGTAGGGAAGAGTAATATGGTTTTAAAATAAAGCTTAAACGATTCCATAATGATTAGAAAAAACAGAAATCAAATTCACTTAAAATCTTCTAAGATAATTGCTGGTTTATGATAAAAAAATCACTGTATTGTGTATATAATATGTTTGATATGTATATAATAACTAATAAGTACCTACTTAATTTAGAAAAAAAATGTAGGACTCTTGTATTCTTTATTAGCTCATTAGTCTATCTTATGTTTAATTACCCCGAATAATTAGTTGCTGGACGTTGAGGTACTCAGTTGTCTTGTTTTACCGTAAGTCAAGTAGGAACCTACTGTAAACTTAATAATTAACGTTAGTTGCTGTCTTAATTACTAATATTAATACAAAATATAAACATTTTCTTCAAATTAAACATGTTCAACTAAATGTAATACAGTACCTATGTTATAACTTATAACTTTTAAACTATATTATTAAACACTTTTTTAGTATGTTTAGTAATAGTTTACCAAATACTTAATATTATGGAATTCCTCATTTATCTGTCACTAAATAGTAGACAACTATACATATTATTATTATGTGATATTTATAGGAGATATGAAAACTCCGATATGCGGTTCTGCAAGTTACAGATGTATGCGACAGTATTCAAACAACGGTATAACATTGTAGATATAGAACAAATATGGTATCTACTTAATAATAATTAATATTTCAACATTATATTTGTATAGGTTATTCAATTTTGAATAAACAATTGATTAATTTAAATACAACAAATGATTGTAATTGCTTAGAAACGTGTACGCATATTAGATATCAACACAATGTTGTGTATACGCATAGAAATTTGACAAACAATGTTATACAGCCGGATAAACAGTAAATATTATTAGATATAAATATAATATGTTTCTTATGGGTGGTACACTCAATACTCGTATTTAAAATAAGCATTTGTTTTAATCGCTGTGAATTTAATAATAAGATTGTGTAGTTACCTATTTATTTTAGGGAAAGGAGCATAATTAGAGCATAATAGGTAAATTCCTAAATATTATTTGATTTGTAAATTAATCAATACCGGTCTTGTATGCTGTACGTTAGATTACGACCCTATCTATTTCAATTAAATTCTGTTTAATTAAATAAAAATCATAATCATAACAGGGAGACAGAAATAGTTTTGGTGGCAACAAATATCTGGGTACAGTAATTAATTTGGTTGTTTTGTAGTCCAGAAAAACATAATTTTTACAAGGGGCTCCCACAAATTGATTATACCCTCACCATTTTAATCTCAGAGTTGTGAATTCAAACTCCATGTTGGGCACTATTTAGTAATAAATAAAACAAGTAGGGACAGAGAAAGCATGAAATGATTGAATACTTAATCTAGCTCACCGCTGAAATTGCTTAATATTTTCTACGAGAGTAGGAAAAATTCCAAGTATAATATGTGACAAATTCCAGACCTATCTTGCGTGGAACTTTCTCAGTAGTGGTATTGACGTTGAAAATGAGCATACTTTCCATTCGATTTAATCAGAATCAAATAATAATAACGTTATATTTTACTGTTTTGGGACCTAATTCAATGGTTGGTTTCATATTTACCCAAAATTAGGAGCCTGCAATTCAATGGTCAGCAAAGGAACACTGTCCCTTTATGCTCCCATCCCAATTTGAGCATCTACAAGGGTACTACACTTTTTATTATAGTTTAGCCTACATTTTATATTTAATTAAGTTGTATAACAATGCTTAGATTCATGTTACTATAATAATAATACTTCCATGTTTCTTTATATGTAGAAATGAAGTCTCATCGATTCTAGTTATGTACTACAAAAGACAAATTTGGAGTGTACAAAGAACTGCCTTGATTTCAGGAAATGAGCTGCTGGGTAAGTAAAGCCAGTAAAAGTATTATTCTCATTGGTTATAACCTATAAGGCCGTAACACGTTTTGGTATATAGCTGTATTTTTATCTGTAAATGTAGAACTCGTTTGGGCACAAAAACACAAAATATTGTACCAATATAATATTAAAGTAGGTATTAAAATGTTTTGTTTTCGTAGGTGTGTCCAAATTTTATTTTAATTTGTACTAAAACGTGTTATTTGTCTAGAGATAAACCGGAACGGTGTATTCATTTTTCCCCAAACGTACTGAGATCGGTTACAATATTGGAATTAAAATTATTTTGTTAAGTATAGTCTTCTTCTTCTTGGAGGGATTTGTGAAAAAATAAGTTATATTTATTAATTTTTTCTTTTCGCTTAACATTTTCTCGACCGAATTCATTTTACGAACTTTTGAACACCACTATCAATGAAATGTTGTTGTTTGTGGTCATCAAATATGAACATTATTACAACTGATGTTGTTAAAGTAAATACTAGTGATATGAGAACTCCTTTTTAAATAATAATAATTTAAGATTTTGGGAGCCAATTAAAATATACATTTTTCGGGAGCCAAATCAAGGGTCAACCTTCACATTAATCCAAAATTGGGATCCAATTCAATGGTTGATTTTTCTCCCTGCCCAAACTTAAAAGTTGAATATCTCGTAAACGTATTGAAGGAAATCAACAATTTGAACACCATTGTAAATTTTTTATAATTAAATTACAATTTTAATTCGTACCGATGTTTAATTCAAATTTTATTAGTTTGTATATTATTAACTCCAGAAACTCCAGAACTACCACTATCCCCGTAAATACGCCATTGATCTACATCAGACCTTTGTAGTTTTATCTAATTATAATATTTTAGATTTATAATAAGTATATTTAAATTTTAATCTGAATATTTTGGTCTAGGTAATATTGGTGGATCATTGGGCTTATTTCTTGGTGCAAGCATTATTAGTGTGTTTGAAGTAATATATTTTTTTGCGATACGACTGTTTGTAGATCGCTGGAATAAAATAAAATAATATTAAAATTTTAGAAATGATATAAAATATCAATAAATATTATGTACGATATTTTTTCTAAAATTATACTATTTGTGTTCCTTATATTCTTCAATAACCTTGATTATCAACCAAATGAAACACCCAATTGTTCATCTGATTGAATGTTAAGAAACATTTATTTTTCGATTTAAATAAAAGCACAGAATGCTCTATCACGTAATCTAAACAATTATTTGATAATAGATGTTAACTTGATAATATATAAATGTATTATATTATATTAAATTCGATTATAATATTAATATTAAATAAATATAATATTGGTATTCAATTTAATGAACATATTAATTAAACACACGAACAATATAAAATGTAAAACGGAAAAAAAATCGTTATGGCTAAATGTTGATAACACCACATAATTTTGATAACACATTTCCATCGTCTGGCAAACCGACTATTTTTTGGTTGGATCAGTGAAATTGTCAACTAGTCCAATTGGTAAGTATAGTGTAGGACTATAATGGCGTACTTAGATATGAAGTTTGGCGGGAGGCGTTAAACATTATAAATAAGGCGACAGATATTTAGGCTTACAAAAATGTATTATCACGTCTCAAAAATTTCGTGTAAGAGATGGTGATATCCCTGTAAGTACTATTCCATATAAATAAGCCATTTAATTGGTCCGATTGGATGTTGAGCACGATTGATCAAAATCGCTCAATCTGGCACTGCCAACGTACAATTTTTTTGGAACTACTCGTTTCCATGGATCTACACTAGTTTGTTGGGAGACCCCATCGGGGTGCTTATTAGTATATTATTTTCGTTTACTCTCTGCCCGTCTCTTGCATAAATGTTGTACCGACTGTTGGCGACGTGTGTAGTGTCCTTGTTTTTCCCCATTCGCGCAGACCGGTCACGGAATCGGAGCGCACCTCGCCGGGTTACCTGTAGGGCCATTTTTAGGTCGTTCAAAAATGGAATTACGCCCTAGCTGGTATCCTCTGTCCCGGTCATAATTTGTACGTTTTGGCACCTGTACAATACCGGCCGAGTCTCTAAGAAAATAGTACACCGATTCATGGCCGTGAGTTCCACGTGACCGTCCATTTAACTTGCCTTAACCACGCGGCGCGAACACCTCGTCCCCAACTGGAGAATTTTGTTTTAAGGTGCACCATAAATGAAAATCAATGAGATATTGGGTCGGAAATTGGTGTCATTGATCGATAGTATTTCTAAAAATAACAATGAATTTCGCAGACTGTGGAGACATATATATAGGTATGTAATATTCACAAAAGTGATTTTGACCAACAATTCAGTTTTCAGTAGTTTGTAGTTTATTAATGACGGATGTTAAATGAGCAATACAAGTTCAGCGTTAATAGTCAGCGAATAGCGTTTCTGTATAGCACCGAGGATTAAATGTAGTATACTCCGCTAGAGGGAGACATATAAATCACAAATATTTTTCTACTGATGTAATAATATTGAATGACATACAAGCCTGCACTTTACGTAAGCCAAACGAAACATTAGACCGGAGTTAAACAGTATAACTATATATAATGTATAATTTATAACATTATCGTTAAAAATTATAAAATTGTAATAATAACCAATAATAGTGTTTTTATTTTACGTTGAATACTCATATCTCGCTTGATCAATGAAATATCGAGAAAAAACATCATCGAATTAGTGGCACAGATAATGTTCTTATATTTAAGTTTGATAAACGGTGAAATCGCTCTAATATTTAAACTGACAGCACAATTTTGTGCTTGGTGAACTATTTATTATGTTTGTGCAGCGGAGATAGCACACGCGGCCTCTTAAAATTGTATCTATAAACCCACGTTTAAGCGAATTATGAATCATAATTCGGTCTTTGTGCGATATTATGCCTATTATTTGTCACACATGTGTACATTAATATTCCAATACCTATTATGTAGTTCAATAATAATAACAATAGTAATATTTATAGAGAAACTATTAATATTCCAATACCTATTGTATAGTTCAATAATAATAACAATGGTAATATTTATAGAGATACTATTAATATTCCAATACCTATTGTATAGTTCAATAATAATAACAATAGTAATATTTATAGAGAAACGCTAGTCCGTAACAATATTCTCGTATATTTTCAAATAGAGATTTCCGCTTTATCCTAACGGAAAACTCAAAGATGTGTTAGATAGATGTGCTACGGGCACCGTGTTACCCGGCCCTAGCACGATTCCGTGCAGTGGGCGGAGCTTGTACGACTGAAATTTGTTTTACAAGACCTGTGCGTACTCAGAACCTCCGCATTGAATCTACATAGGGTTCGTAATATGTAAAAACTTCAGAATTGTGTACAGATGCATCGTGTTATAATAATAATAAATAACTAATTACGCAAGTTGAACCAACACTGATGATAATTAAGTAGTCGTCTTGAGCTTTTTAAATAAAAAATGTAACAATATAAATGTGAGTATACCAATTTGTATTGTACAATTTATAAATAAATTACGTTATCTAAATAATATTATGTATAAAAAAGTACATAACGAATAGTGATTCTTAGTTTTAACTAATATAATTTAATAAATAATAACGAATCAAATATTATAGATAGTGTTAATGATAAACATAACATGGTTTGTAATTAAAAACGTCCATAAAATACATTAAGTTTAAAAAATATTAAAACCAATTACACAGGTTTTAAATTTTAACCGTGCGATTTTGCATTCGGTTTGTTGGCTGCAATGTTTCTTTCAGTTTTTTTGGCTTTGGCTTTCATTTCGATGACTGATGTTCGACCAGCGTGAATTCGACGTGGTCCTTATGTTAAACCGGATCTTTTTTTTCTTCGAGAAATTGCTGTAGGTTGAACGTGAATACTTTTTTTTAAATTTCATTTACCAAGTTGAACCATCACTGATGATAACTGAATAGTCGTCTTAAACTTTTCCAATTGAATATTGGTTTTCTTTATTAAATTATATAAACCTTTACTTACGAAAAAACGATTCTCAGCAGATTTCAGTTGATAATGATGCTTTGTCAACAATAAATATGCCATATTCTAGTAAAACAAATAAATAGGCTTTGTATATTTTCTTTAACAATATTTGTTAAATTTTGTATCAGTTTTCCCATGTTATATCTCGGTTTTTCACATTTGCTGGGAAAACTCGTGAGAAAATCGAAAAATGACCTGTTTAAAGTACCTCCCTTGTGAAATTTTCTTTCGGAAAAGATGCTGTATATAGAAATCCGAGCAAGTCTTCTGGTAGAAAAGTTGCGCACAGATAAAAAAAAAAAATCAATAAAAATAAAAACTTCATATGACGCTACGTTTGGAAAAAAATTCTAAATGCCACGGATGTATGTAAATGCCCATATGTGTAGCATTAAGTAGGAATAAACAAATATATTTTAGTTGTATTTTTAAAATTAAATAGCCTCATTTTGGCTTTTGCCCATAACAGGTACATAAAATATAGATATTGCAGATATTAATATTATGTTATACTAATTATATTATACTATAATTATAATTGTATTAATATTAAAATTGATCGATTCGATTAGTACTGAACAATTTTAATAGAAATTAAGAAGAAAAAAAAAACCGAGTTTTTCAATCCGACAAATAAAATTTAATAATATTATTCTCACGGACATGTTATTATAATGAATCTGGTTTTAATAACGTGACAACATTTTTTTATTACAGCATTTTAAGAGTTCAACTACTTCATAATATCATCGTATAGGTATCAATGATACCGAATCGTGTCTATTATTATAGGTGCCTAAACTATTAAGTGTAATACTATATTATAGTACTTTATTTTTATTGAGCTTGTATATAAGCGGAATGGATGTTCATTTTTTAGAGCCTAATTTTCGTTGAAATTTCGGTTACAGGTGAATGAATGGTTAGGTTGTTATATTTTTCATGTGTATTCTATTACTGCAGTTGGATTTGAATGAGAACCCCGGTCCTTCGATCGTTTCAATCTATATGTAAATATTGTAATAATAAGATAGGCTATATCGCCGGATTGTTATTCGTTTATTTATCCGTTAACACGTTTAAATAAATTTATACTTGAATTTTTATTCGAAAAACGTACATAAATTTGTGCTGAAATTGACATCAATAATATCTTAATTTGACGGGCAGTAATTCGTGTTATGTTACACGTGTATAAGTATAATAATACTAATTATATTATATAACCTTTAAGTCGCATCAAACATATCTTTTTTTATTTCATATGAAATCGTATTTTTTCAGGTTCTGAGGGTATAACTCGTTATACGCTTCCTCGGAACGTGTTGATTTTAATAGGATATGTGTGCTTTTTATTTTATTTTTCTGCCTGTATTATATTGCAACTTTTCTATATTGGAAATATTTCTTTGTTGATAAACTCCAGGAATGGGTTCTGCATGGTAGTGAATGTTGTTTAGTTGGTGCATTTTTTCGATTTTTCTTGAAGTTGTGCGAATAATACCTCGCTTAGAACGATTATACCCGTTGCGAATACAGATATAAATCAAACTACCACCTTATACTACAATTTTCCAATTTTATACCTACAACTACAGTGACCTGTAAACACCCATGGCACGAAGTATGTCAGCCTTTTTTTCTAATCCGAGATAATCAGTTTTGAATTAAAACAACAAATTAAATTTGAACGATCAACAGTGTTATTATACTATAGATACAAAAGTAGATACCTACCTACATCAACGATAACGACAACGAAGAAAATATTATATTAATTAAAATGTTGTAATTAATTATTTTTTACCAACCTATACATTTTTTACATATTATCATTTTAATGAGTTAACACTTTCACCGAAAAAAAACACTTGATATTTCCATATTTTATAATGATTAATTACCGTTGTAAAAAATGCAAAGATACCGCATTTTATAATAGGTACCTGTGTAAATAAATCACTATAATTAATTACGTA